TACTGGAAAAATTAAATAATCAAAATTAGCAAGAAGTTAACATCTAGAACATATAAGGAATTTATAAATCCATTAAAAAAGATCATAATCCCGATATAAAATATGGATAAAACTATGCAATTCATTGAAAGCCAAATTTCAATTAGCATGTATATGAAGAGATTCCCAACTCTTGACTTTCAATGGATTGGCAAAAATTAGAGGTAAGTCAGCTATTAGTGAGATATAGGAAGATGGGCACTCTCGCACAATGTTGATAGGAGTATACATTAGCACAGCCATTGTAAAGAACAATTTGGGCTTACTTACTGGAAATGAATGAGATCCAGTAATCCATTCCAGGGATGCATCCCAAAGAAACTTGAGTCCAGGTTCATAAGGGGACAGGCACAAAGATGCTCATTGTGGTAGCAGGTTAGAGGCAACTGGGTGCCCATCACTGTGGAATAGGTAAACAAAATGTGGTGTATGCATACGGTAAAATATTATTCAACATTCAGAAACAATAAACTAGTATTAGAGCAGCATCAGTGAATCTCTGAATGAATATTTACTTAAAAATTACAAACTGAATGAAGGTCATAGTAAAATGCTGTATATATAAGTTAAAAACAGATACATATAAAACAGTACCACATATGTTTTTAGGAACTATGTATATCTAGAGATAACTCTGAATTTAGAGTTTAAATGAAATATAATGGTGCTTGCAGTGAGGAGACTGATAGAGTTAAAATGAAGGATGAAGGGAAAAGTAATAAAATGGAAAAAGAAAGATGTGTGTGCATGGACAGTTAATGCACCTGCTGTATACTAGAAAGTATTATTAACTCACAGCAGCCTGTACCTGAGATTAAAAGTATATAAATTATGTATTTATACCTGTACAACATGACCAAAAATATATATTCATACTCTCCTTATTTCTTTACTGACTGTCCCAGAATTTGCCAGTCTTGCATTATTTTCTTAGGAAGACTTAGGCTATTCTCAGTGATCTATACCTATGCATTGACACCATTCAAGACACAATTTAAGTGTCATAGGTTCGATTCCCAGCCAGAGCACATGCCTGGGTTGCAGGCCATGTCCCCCAGCAACCGCACATTGATGTTTCTCTCTCTCTCTCTTTCTCCCTTCCTTCCGTCTCTAAAAATGAATAAATAAACTCTAAAAAAAAGACACAATTTAAGTCTACATTTCTATAAAAACTTAAAAATTTTTCTACTCATGTAAATGTCTTCCCGAAACCAATTACTCTGTTTTAATAATGTATCAAATGCATTGTTCTGTATTTCTCTGTATTATGTCTTCTCCAGGGGTTTTCAATACTAGTTGTTAACTTCCTAGGGGCTAGACAGACTTCTTTGGAGCTTCCTGTAGTGCCTAGAACATTGCTTGCATACACAAGAGTATCTCAGTTAAGTATTTGGATTCATACAATTTCAACAGGAATTTGGAAGTGTGGTGGCAGGATATGGACAGATGAGATCATAACTGAAGGTTAAAAATGTATCCTTTTGCCACTGGGGATTAGTTTTGAAAGTGGAGGAGGATGGAGTTTCCTGAAATTGGAGCTCTTGGAATTGCAGTTTCTTTCAAAACTAGAGGAGAAAGAGATAGGATAATCCCTATCACATTGTGAGTAGAATAGCCCTCCAATCAGTGAAGGAGATAAACTTTGCTTTAGGTTCTGCTATTTTTCCTTCTCTTGGTGTTTCTTGTCTAGATCTATCACTAAATTTTCTTGCAAAACTTAAAAATTTTTGTTTTTGCTTCAATTTACAAAATAAAGCTAGTAAGAGCCAACTAAGAATGTGCTTCATCAATCTAGAACACTGTTAAATAGCCCCTTCTCCCCACTTTTAAAGGAAAAATGTTTCTATAATTTTTGATGAAATTATCATCTTATTATTATTATTAAATATATGAACTCATTTTTATATGCTAAATTGTGGTAAATTATTCCTCTGTAAGCCATGGAAAGAAGAAACACCATGCATAGTAGAGTTGATACACTTCTGTTAGATTCTCACTGAGATTCAAAATCTCACTTGGCTGTGCTCTGCAGACAATTTGAATAAGAGCCAAAGGTTGCCTCTGAAACGAAAATTGATCTCTGTGTAAGAACAAGAGGAGGTTGGAACTTTGAAACAGAAGATATACGTAGTTTGCTCAGCTCTTTGGAAGGTGCAGAAAAGAAGTGGATTGGTTCCAGGAAATGGTGATTGAATTGAAAGGAATGCAAAGTGGAAAGTACTCGGAATATGATGTAATAAGAAAAGGGTACAATATCTACTTCACCTACTTGCTAGTCTTGGGATCTGGGTTGAGTCAGACATCTCTGAACCTTTGCTTTCTTTTTTGTGTAAGGAAGTGGGATGATCTCTAATGTGTATTCATCTATAATGCTATCATCAATTGAGATAACCTGGCAGCTAAAAAATATGAACAACAAACAGCTTAGGACCATAAGAGAAGAGACTGAGCTTCATTCATTTTAGTAACTGGCTAGAATGAAAGGGGTCTGAAACATTATAAGTATTCAACAGATTTTTTTAATACATCAGAAAAATAGAATGAGTCAGAGAGGAGGTAAAATCAAAAGAGAGCACCAAGACCAGAGAGACTCTCACTTGGGGAGGCAGAAGAAAGAATGTAGGACAGCAGATAAGAAACTGTCCTCTTCACCCCGGGATCAGGACCAGAGAAAAGCTTTAGAAGCCAGAGTAGCTGTACCTTAGAAGTGCTGAGAGCCCAATCCCTGTAGAGATTAGCATGCATGTTTTAGAGAATTAGCATGCATGTTTTAGAGAATTTAGAGATTGACAATGGCAATGACTACCCAAATAGTATTCCTTAAAAACATAACTGAACATTTAGCTTTACATTCGAGGCAGCTAGAAGGCAAGGTGAGGAATCCCATGAAATTGTCATGAGGTAAAATCAGACAGATCAAAGTTTAAATCCAAGCTACCATTCACTAGTAGTATAAATACTGGTGAACAATAATATATAATCTCTCTGAGATATGTAGAAAATGAAATCTGTAATTGTAAAAAATTAAAATTATGGAATCCATTTGTAGGCTTTTTTAATATTAAATAAGAAAATATATGAAAAAGACCTAAAACATGCTTAATGTGATTTTTTAAATTGTTATCATTATTATAATTTTGTTGTTACTGTAATGTTTATGCCCATAAGATGTATATCGGTCAACTCAAACTCTTGACTTCAGTTAAGAACTTGTAATTTGTAAGTACCTCTTTATATTTAGTTTTTTTTCTATGTGTGCATTTTTCTTTGTTAGTGCTATTTTTAAAGTTGTCCGTATCCCAATTCTAACTTTGTCTTAGCAATACTGAGGAAAAAGGGACTTGCCACACTTAGGACAGGGATAGGGGGTACATTACGTGGCAAGCATGACTGGTTTGGCCAACAGGGCCATGATCTCAGATCTCAGAAGACCAGAAGAATCAGAGCAGGACCAAGGGCAGAAGTCCAGACAGGCATAGAGGAAGTTTTCCCTTATAGGACTGCATGTAAGTGATGGACCATACCACATTCAAATACATTTAGAGAATGTATCCCAATAATAGCTGATGTGCCCCTCAAGTGTGTGTGTTAATAACGCTTTCATTTGAATGCAAAGGTAGACTCTTGCTTCGGAAAGGTTTGTAAGATACATACTTTTAACAGTAAACAAGTTAGATATGAAGTCAAAAGTTTGCAACTGAACAGATTAATGAGAAAACTGGTATAAGATTTGTTATGGAAATTACATTAAAACTTATAATTTGACAGTAGATATACAACGTTAACAAACAACATGGCTTGTTTATCGCTGCCAGATCAAATTTTCAAAGAAATTTAGTCCTGGGGAAATGTGTTAAGCTGTTAAGCAAAGGTTTCAGCTAGTTATGAAGTTACCTTTGTCAGTAAAAGGTTGCTGCCATCAAGCCTTTGCCAAGAGATGTCCCCAATCTGGCATGTAATAAAAGGAGAAACTTTATTGTCCTTTTTTGATAAACAGTTTGCAGACTGAAGAAACACAGCCTCCATAGCAGGGAATACCATTTAACTATCTCTGGGAACCCAACTTCAGCGGCCTCCCAGGCACAAATGGAAAGCTCTTATATAGAAAAAGTGCCAGGTCTCGTCCTCGATTAGTCCTCATTTATGCAATGAAGAAACTATATTTGCAGTTTGATTGATCCAGATAACATTATCCTGATCGGTCATCCTGACTGGTGTTATGAAGCCTGATAGGCTTCTGCAGTGACAGATAAAGTCCTTATCGGGTTGACACCCTCATTCCCAATTGATTACGGCCGACAGAAACAGGCCTTATTTGGTCAGGTGTACATGATTTTCCCCTTTAACTTAGTATGGAGGTTACATCATTAGTGGGGAGGCCAGCAGGCTAACTGAGCTCAAGGGTGATAAAGTGGAGGGCCACGATGGACCTAGGGAAGATGCAGGTGAGGAATCTGTTTTCAATGCCTCGTCTCGGACAGAACGTGTGGTATCTAGGGAAAGGTAGCTTACTTCACAAAAGCTGTGAGAGAAGTACCATTTAGGGAATGTTCTCAGGTCAAGACTTGTGACCAAAGAGTGTAAAATGGATGGTGCCACCTCCAGGACTTGGGTCTGGTTTGCCTGGTGGCTTAAACAGAACTCAGAGGGGCAGCCCAGAACACAAAACTGCAGACTGCTTGAGAGACCGGCAATCAGGAGCCCAAGCGGTACAAATATCCACTAAACAGAGGGAAAGCTGTGAGGGTAACGTGGCCGGAGTGGAACAAAGGCTCAGCTGGGAGGGGGACTGCAGGGTGAGGCGTAGGTTCACAGCTGGATCTCCTGAAGGCTTGCAGCAGGGAAGCTGCGCGGCGGCGACCGTCCGCGGCCGGCCTCTCCAGGCCCCGCCCCTTTCAAGCCACGCCCCACCCCGACCAATGAGAACTCGGGATGTTAGCGGGTGGGAGGTGCGGCCGCGTTGCTACCGTCGTAGCTGGGCGGGTGTGGGCGCTGCCCGAGGAGTGTCCCAGAGTCTCAGGCGGTGGAGCAATGGAGGGACTGGAAGGTGAGGGGGTAAAGGGTTGCAGGACGGGCGGCTGGAACAGGCCCGGAGCAGTTGCAGGGCCCTGGACGCGGGTACGGGGGAGGCGTGGGCAGGTCGTGAGTGGTGGACCCGTCGGGTAACTCTGGAGGCCCGGGCGGAATGGTGGGAGCCCGACAGCTCCCGACGCCGTGGGTAGAATGACCCTCAGACTGCCGCCTCGGAAGGTCTTCAGCTGGGTTTTACCACCCGATGTCTGATCTCCCTCTGGCACACGCCTCCAAGTCCCTTGCTACAGTTTTCTAGTGTCGCCTGACTCCTGCTGTCCTATTGGTGATCTCCCTCTGGCCAGATTTTATTTTCCTTGCAAAGTGAACCCTACATGAATGTCCACAGCCTCCCCACCTCCAGCGTCTGCTGGGGCCCTGGGGTGTGTCTCCAGCCTCGAGCTTCTGACACTTTCCTTGACCAGTTTTCCTAGGTAACCGTTTTTACCATTTCTACAGCATCTTCTATGGGAAGGATGCCAAGAGCATCTTCCAAGGAAGTCACAGGCCAGCTTTACAGCTGGGACAATAGATTAATAGAACGATTTAAGAGCTTATTCACCGTGACTGTACGGAAGAGCCAGCATTGATTCCTTATCTTTGGGTTTATCCTTGTGCTGTAACCCTGACTCCTGATTTCTCTTTGTTCCCAATTCTTTCTCTTTTTTCTCTATTCCCTTTACCCATTTTATCTTCTGTAATATGGCATTCGCCTAAAAACAACAAAGAAAGAAAACACCCAGCTAGCATTGGCAACAACAGTTTCAAGGTTCTTTTTCAAATTGTGGTTAATCCTTCTGATGAAGAATAAGCTTGTGGAATTGAAAGATCCTATTGTTTGGATTTAGCTCTTTCTTCCCCTCCTAATAGATTCAGGTGGAATTAAGAATAAGCAGAGGTATTGAGCCTCTAGGCATTACTGCATGTTAAAGAATAAATTACCTGGTATTACAGATAGTGTTTTCAAGTGAAAAGTAGTAACTTCAGTGACCTAAGCTCACAAAAAAACAAATGTAATGATGAGCATGATCAGTATTTCATGCTTTGCACTTAGGTGAAGTTCTTATAGTAAGCACCTTAAGGACGATAATTAAGAATTATGATAATGGTCTATTTGTGGGCAGCCATGGTGTACTATAAAAAAATGAAGGTCTTGTTCTTAATTCATTTTAGGCAGGTCATTCAAGTTTCTATGAAATAGGAATTACAGTGATAGTACTTATTACTTTTAAGATACTTTTGTTTAGAGGGCTCCTAGGGGCAGCTTTTTTTAAAAAAATGAACTTTAAAACATGATAGTATTATAGTAGGATCTTGGATTCTGGAATTCTCACAGGTTATAATACACATAAAGTCCTTTAGAACAGTTTCTCTGCATATTTTTAATTTATTTATTTGTAATTAAAGCAAAGGTCTTCATTTGATTTTTCACTTATGTGTACTAAGCACCAAAAACAGTGTCTGATACAAAGTAGGGATTCAGTAAATATTTGTTGTTAGACTTTGGCTATGATAAGCATTATTGTAGGCCCTGGGATGCGGCCAAACATAAAAAAGTCCTGCTCTCATTGAGCCTATATTTTAGTGAACTTTATCTTTTAGCAGTGCCAAGGCATTATTATTGAAATCTCACTAAGAATGCTTTTAAAATGCAATGAAAACCTATTATATAGTCCTCAATTACATGAGGGGAGAAATACATGAATTCTGATGTATATAGTATGTTATGATGGACATGTTTAATAGGCCCAGTTTGTGATGTATCATGTTAAACAGTATTTGCTCTTCACTCTTTGTTTGATTTTGACATTTTTGGACCTTTTTGTAGGGTAGAACTATTGAATATTCATAATTTCAAATGTTTTAAACTAATAAAAAAAGCTGAGGGTTTTTGCTGAGGTTAGGACAGTGCCTTTCTCTTTTGTTCTTTTTAAAAATCAGTCCCTATTAAGTCATATTTGTAAAGATCAAAACCTTTGTGTCTTAAGGTTACCATTCTGTAATTTACCTGTGTCTTCAATTAAGAAATATTGATACAATGATAGATAAGTTTGCCTTATTGGAAGTTAAAGTCTAACACATTGAGGTTATCTAATAAACATCATATTGCTGTATCCAGTAGAAAATCTTTAGGAGTTTGTTTCACATGTCATAATAATTGAGCAAGTATTGCACTGTTTGGCATTAGATCCATGTGTCTGATCAGTTACCAGGCTAATCTTGATGGTAAAACCAAGTATATGAACCCCTGAAAAATTCTGATACCATATACTTTTTCTTATAACTTCATTTGCATGTTCATCTTTACTACTTATATTATTTTTGGCTTTCTTGGACCTGTATGTTTTGTGGATTGTCAAGAGATGAGCTATGAGGCTAAAAACACTCTATTTTAAAACCAAATATCAATGATTTCTCATGATTTTGTATAAACTGTATCTGAGCACTTTTGCATTGTGTGGGTAATTAGAGCAAAGCCTTTAATGTCTTCTCACCTAAATATTGTGACCTATAGGTATAAGGTATATCTAAAGGCAATAGAGGTAGTTCTTGACTTGGGAGAGTTCCAGTCTCTCATAAGCTTGCTTTCATTAGTAAAATGGAGAGATGATGAAATCTGTGCAAATTTTGTCTGCATATACAACATTGTCATTCCTTGCATAACACATTGATTAAAGGTTATTAACAGTTGTGACAGAGATCAATGAAACTGCCCATCCTTTATGGACAGGTAAACTTAGTAGATCTTAGTGTACTGCCCCTAAAACCCAATAACAAATCTGATTGCTCTTCCCCAGTGTAGCCCTTGATCTACAAAAGACAGCCATCCTATCCCATTAGAGCTTCTTGTTTTGTTTCTCCCTAAACACATATTAGTTTACTCAATAATTCTTCATCTTTATTAATGCATCTAGTATTTATTATATTTGGTACTGAGACAGATGTCAGGTGTTTTAATAACCAATGTGCTAGAAAGGATCCTTGCTTTGTTTCTTTTCAGCTCTATGACTTGTGCAGTTAATTTGAACCTCAGTTAGCTATAAACCAATGGAGGAATTAAATACCAGCCTGCCTGAAGTATATTAATTATTAAATGATGTAATATATAAAGTATTTAGCAAAGTGCCTAATACATAGGCCCCTCTCAAATTCAGGAAGTATTTTAGGAGCTTAAGAGTGGTTCAGTATAGATAAAACAGAGTGCTTGGAAGGGACTGGGGGGAAATCCCACCAGATAATCATAGTAGCAGGGTATTCGGAGAAAGGAGAGTCTGGAAATACATATGTGATGAGAATTTGAGCTAAGGGAAAGGTAGCAGGAACTGAAAAGGGTGGATAGATTAGAAGACATTTCTGAACTGGAAAGATGAGATTTGACTGCTGAATATGACAAGGAAAAGGAATCAAAGATAAAGCAGCTTTCTAACTTGGACTAAGAAGTAATATTAATATCTTTAACCAAGAGGAAGGCCAAGTTTGGGAGATGAGGTAATGAGTTTGGCGTTTGAAATGTCTTTGTGCAGTATTTCAGGGATATCTGGTAGAAAAGTCTCATAGGTACTTGGAAGTATCACTGGAGTTTTTAGTTTAGTAGTCAACAGCATAGAAATGATAGCAAATGGATGCATTCTTTGGAAAGCTGTATTTAACAAAATTAGGAAAGAAACTTGGACAGAACAGATGCTGTAGGTTTGAGCATAACGGGAAATTGGAGTGTGTGTCTGTAGGGGGCATTTTAAGGAGATTTAACCACTGTCAAGAAAAAGCAGTTGGGAAGAAACTAGTATTTATTATGTGCCTGAAAAAAAGCCTATGGCACCTGGTATTCCTTGAAGTCTAAATACTAACCAGGTCAAACTCTGCTTAGCTCGAGATCTGAAAAACTTAGGCTTCGGAGAGACAAACATTGAAGCCAAGAGAGAAAGGATTTTAAAGGTGGAAGGGATTGCTCAGTAGTGCCTAATGCTATAGAAAGGTCCAGTAGGATAAGGATTCAAAAGAGGCCTGTGAATTCGACAATTAGTACACCACATGAATGGTGTTTCTTAAGGTCTCTATTTTAATGCCTGCTAATTAAAGGAGCTTTCCCTGATTCTGCTCTCTTCCCCAAATACAAATATACATAGCATTATGACTGCCCTTGATTCCTTTACTTTGTTCTATTTTTCTACATTGTGCTTATTACCACCTGACTTTTTTTAGACTTAGTAAAAAGACACTTTATTCAAGATTATTGCAAGGGAGAGAAATAATTTTTTATAATTCAATACTTACATAATTTTTTCATAATGACACATAACAATTTTAATAATTCTTTAATATTCCCTAATTGTTCTCTAGTTGGCATTTCCCCTCCTCCCCAATTACTCTCCCCGCCCTACCCACCCCGAATTTTTTTAATCTTCACCGGAGGACATTTTCTGATTGTGATTGGTTGCCTTCCACGCATACCCAGGCCAGAGATCAAACTCACAATCTGGGTATGTGCCCTGATGGGGGAATCGAACCCGCAACCTTTTGGTTACAGGATGATGCCTCAACCAACTGAGTTACACACAGCCAGGGCCATTTTCTTTTAATTTAATTGTTTTTATTTTATGTTTTCCCTATTAGAATTACTATTCTAATTCATAAGAAGCTTCATAAGATCTGAGTCTTTGTTTTTATCATCACTGTTTGCCTACCTCCTAGAACATTTGCCACCTCATAGGTGCTCAGTAAGTATGTACTTGTTGAATCCACAAATGGATCTATTTTAATACAGTGATTAGACCTAGTAAAGTTTGCCTGCAATTTAGATGGGGAGTGAATGAGAGGTAGTAGAGAGGAGCTAGTTAGTAAATATATTTTAAAAAATGTACTACTCAGGACTTTGGTCCTAAATATCTTGATAAGGGGTTGGGGTAAGGGACAGGGCAGAAAAGGTTTCTGCTGAGGAAATAACAGCATACTGAATCTGTTTTTAAGACTGCTAAAGTTCTGTTCTAAGAAAACCCATTTTGTCATTTAGAATTTTTCATACATTTGACCAGGGAGAAAAGGATATGAGGATGATTGGTCAAAGTAGTGGATATGACTAGTCAGGTTCAGACTAGATAGAAAGGGAAGTGCAGCCAGGGTTCAGTTATGAAGACATGCAAGTCACCCTGAGATCAAGAAGTAATTTACAGAGAAGTAGAAATCTGTGATTAGAGAGGAACCTATGTATTTTGAGAGTCCAGAGGAGGACCCTTGGGTGTTTGGCTGAACTAAAGTGGAGTGGAGAGTGAAGATATTGTGTTCAGCAGGCTAAGTGTAAATGTTGAAATCTAGGATGAGCTGACAAAGGGAAATCTTGTGAGATATTAAAGATCGTTGAACTGGAAGTAATTTGATTTTTAAAAGGGGCTGTAGGGAGAAAGTTGATATAACAAATGCCATTTACTTCAAAAGGAAGTCTTGTTGAGTTTTAAAGGTTATATTCAGATGCTTAGGAAATAGACATGCTACAAACAGAGGCCAGCTCAGTTCTTAATTTCCAGGATTTCTTTTCTTTGTAAATGTTCTCTCCTATTTTTTAAATTTATACATTTTAGAATGTCATAACTATTTTAAATAACAGCATATTATTTCACATCACCTATGTAATAGTATAAACATACCATTTCAAGCCTTATTATCATGTAGGTTTTCAAGTTGCTAAATATAGCAACTCCTGATAGAATCAATAATGTATGCAGGATAAATATTGTAAGGAGACATTGACATCTTGATAGTTTTATATCTTTATAAAGTACTTTCTATACTTTGTTCTGTACATCAGTTTGAGTGCTTCTTTCCACAGTATTTGCTCTCTGCTGTACTAATCACCCCTCTGAATATCATCTCTGTACTGTATTCTTATAAGATGAAGAATTTGTTAGCTTTTACTATTCTGGAGAGATTAGTGGAGTTGTCTGCATACTATGAAGAGCAGTGTGTTTTTATATCATTTGTTGTGAAACATTTTTATATGTAACATCTCAGTTGATCCTCTTAAATGTTAAGGTAGATTGAGCTGATGTTTTATCCTCATTACTGAGGCTACCTATATGATCAGCAATGCCTTATAAAGCTATGCCCTAAGACCAGCTAATATGAAGAAATTATAAATTTATGTCTTTATTTACTTTGAATAGAGTAATTAATTTTTTTAGATAATTGTTTTTAAGTTCTTTTTCTTTAGTGCTATACCTCTTTTCTTACACCTTTTAGTGATCGTGATTTTCTTTTTCTTTAAAGATAATTTGAACATGTTTGGTAATTTATAGAAACTAATCCCAGGAGTTATATTTTATTATATTATAGTTTTCTAGTTGCTGTTAACTTTTAAGTTTTTGAATTAAAAAAAATGATTTGGTCCTTAGATATATGAAGACATGAGTCATATAGACTATTAGTTTTATGAGAGCAATGATTCTGTCATTCCGCCCTTGTGTCACTGTTACTTGATATGTGCTTGGCAAGCACGTGTCCAAGTATGCATTTGCATTATTTCCATATATTGAACTGATTTTTCTCAATAGTTAATTTTTATAAGATTTTGCTTTCTCTTCTCTTTAACAAGCAAATACTGAAATGTACTTTGAAGCAAATAAAATATGTGATACTTTCTGACATTTTGGTTTCATGAATTTTTATATCATATGCTTAAAATTTAAAGGAATAAATGAAAACTATGCATAAACAAGCTTAATAGATTATGCAGCATGTGGTATCATTTTGACCATAATTTAAAGACATTTTTATTTTAATGTACCTCATGTATTTCATCTAGCAACTGGAATTAAGCAATCCAGATAAATGGAGTTACTGTACCAAAATAACTTAGCCTCTGGTATAGGAGAAGGACAAATCAGGCAAATCTTAGCTTTGCTTTTGTAGTGTCCACTGCTTAACTCCACCACAGACATTGCCTCCATCTGAAGTGACACATAGTCACTACCTTCTACTAAAATAGGGCAGTGGAGTATTAGGAGGATGAGACATCAAACAGTTCTTCTGTTCCTGTTTGATTATATGCCCACAAACGTCTGTTTTGATTTTCCTGATTAGTTTTCTGTGAACCTACTAAATAAATGCCTTGGAACAAATCATATGAAGTCATAATTGTCCTTTATGCATGAGTTTATTTATATTAATTCTAAAAGAAAACGTTTTTCTGCTTGTCTTTCATATGATAAAAGAAGTGTAGCAGTAAAATATACAGCAGAAAATATGGTAAAGGTATAGGTTCAAGTATCACTTTTAGAAAATTGCAGGCATGGAAATAAATTTAGATTTGATATTTTGCTTGATAATAAAGTGACAAATTGACCCAGTTATGTAGAATCCCAAAAAATGTAGTTTTTATCATTTTCATAACAAATCTGTTGCATGAAAGTACATAATATATATATTAATTTTTGACTGAGTAGAAGTTGCAGCTACTTCTTGCTTAATAAATTTGTGTCCATAAGGTCAGAATAGCTCAACTTGCTAGACCATGAATGTTAATATAATATATATAAAATAATGAACAATTCACATAATATGTCTGTCTGCATAGTAACTAGATGGATCTTTTCCTTAAAGCATAATACTTCCTATTATATGATGTTAAACAGAACAAGATTCTTTTCTTCCAATCCATAAACACAGTATGTGTTTTCATTTGTTTGTGTCTTCCTTAATTTCTTTCTTCAGTGTTGTGTAGTTTTCTGAGTACAGGTCTTTTACCTCCTTGGTTAGGTTTATTCCTAGGTATTTTATTTTTCTTGTTGCTTTATCAAATGGGATTTTTCCCCTTATTTGTGTTTCTGATATTTCATTGTTGTTATACAAAAATGCCTTTGATTCCTGAATATTGACTTTGTATCCTGCTGTTTTGCCAAATTCATTTACTAGGTCAAGTAGTTTTTTGGTGGAGTCTATAGGGTTTTCTATGTACACTATCATGTCATTTTCTCATACCAGATTATCTCAGGAAGCCACCTCACTGATCACCAATGCTATTTCTTAATACTTTGAAGATTAATAATATGTAATATTAACCTTAAGATAAATTTGATTTTTAAAGTTTAGTAATTTACAATAGACATATGCTATAAATTAAGAGAATATGATAAATTGATTTGGTTAAAAGTAAATAAAATACTCCCAACAAATCAGTTTGGTTATCTTTAAATCATGACTTCTGTATTTGGCATGACCTTTCTGACCACTGATAAACTCTGAGTCTGGTGGCCATTTAAATTGATAATGTCATTTATTTCAAATGAAAGAAGGTGTTTTTCACAAGAACTGACAACTTACATCTTGAAGTTAGGAGAGGACATTAAAACTTGGAAGTTTCACAATTTGAACATAGAATTTATTGACAGAAATCTTTTCTGTTTTAGAAAATGGAAATGTCCAAGTTGGAGAATTATTACCTTGCAAGATTTGTGGAAGAACATTTTTTCCAGTGGCATTAGTGAGTACCTTTTTTCCTTTCGGTTTTGATAGATTAGTAATTATTCAATTCTTTTGGACAATTCTCATGGAAGGAACCTCTGGAATAATTGGAAGAGATACTCTTCAGGAATGTAATTTCCATCTATGTCTTTCTTCCATGATGATCTTCTTCCCTTCAGAGTTTGATTGGTCTTCAAAATTTCTCTATTAAAGTGTTCAAGTGTTCCTTTCATTGTGGGGATAGTAATAAAAACAAACAAAACTATCAGAAATGCATACTGTTTAAAGGTACAGAATGTCATAATGTATGGTATTTGCTTTAAAGTACTTAAGGAAAAATGCCCTGCCTGGTGTTGCTCAGTGGATGGAGCACTGGCCTGCAAACAAAAAGGTCTCTGGTTTGATTCCTGGTCAGTGCACACACCTGGGTTTCAGGTGAGGTACCCAGTTGGGGGCGTGCAAGAGGCAACTACTCAGTCTCTCCCACTTTTTCTCCCTCCTTTACCACTTCTCTAAAAATAAATAAATGAAGCCTTTAAAAAAATAAAGTACTTCAGGAAAAACTGGGATAGATGAAACAAGATTGGTAAAATGTTTGTCATTATTTGAAGCAGGGTGATGAATAACAGGGAGTTCATTGCACTATTTTCTTAATAAGTATCTATGTTTGAAATAGTCTAAAGAAAAATTATCTTTAATTAAAAGTGCACCTGAAATATATTAAGCATTCTCTGGATACTTTTTGATACTTAGTATATACAAATAAAAGAATTTTTAACAGATTTTAATATAAAATACCCATCTAAATAGAGAATAAGTAAAATGCCTATGTACTTTACATATTTTTTGTACCTTCAAATATAAATGGACATCTATTAACATTTTGATGCAGAGACTTTTCTTTGAATATAGGCCCTCTGATTAGAGTTCTGCTATATAGCACTTTCTATAGTCAATATTTCCAGTTTGTTTCTTTAAAGCAAAGTGAGGAATTAATTAATGATCCATAAATGTCAGTCTGACTACAGAGTCCTCTCTTTTTTCAAATGATAGTATTTTATTATTAAAAATACTAAACACTGTTAGGTGAACATGTGCAACTTTAAATACAAAGTAGAGAGGCAAAACTAAAGACATTTTGCCTTTAAGAGGAAATGTTCTGCAAAGGTGTTCCCAACCAGGGCATGAATGTGGCTCCATCTCTCACGAAAGCATTAGATTACATTTGCTTTCTGAACTCACTATGTCCACTTTAACAATTTGAGAATGATTGCAAGAAGTGGCATTGGATACATTAGTCAAACCCCTTTTTTCTATTTTTACTTGATGAAAAAGGCTCCATATCACACTGACAGTTTGAATTAAAGCTTGTGTTCTGATTGTTTTTATTTACACAAGGACCTCTCAGAACACCATTTGCAAATATCCTTCCTGGGCTTCTTTCTTTTTTAAATTATATTTTATTGATTATGCTATCACAGTTGTCCCAATTTCTTCTGCCCTTTATCCCCCCTACACCGTACACCCCCCCCCCAACAGCATTCTGCCTCGCCCTTAGTTCATGTCCATGGGTTGTACATACAAGTTCTTTGGCTTCTCTCTTTCCCATACTATTCTTAACTCCCCTTGTCTTTTTTATGCCTACCAATTATGCTTCTTATTCCCTGTACCTTCCCCCATCACCATTCTTTCCCTCCCCCTTCCCACTGATAACCCTCCAGGTGATCTTCGTTTCTCTAATTCTGTTCGTGTTGTATTTGTTTGCTTAGTTGTTGTTTTTTAGATTCAGTTACTGATACTTATGAGTTTGTTGTCATTTTACTCTTCATAGTTTTTGATCTTCTTCTAATTCTTAGATAAGTTCCTTTAACATTTCACGTAATAAGGGCTTGGTGATGATGAACTCCTTTAACTTGACCTTATCTGGGAAGCACTTTATCTGGCCTTCCATTCTAAATGATAGCTTTACTGGATAGAGTAATATTGGAAGTAGGTCCTTTTTATGACTGAAAACTTCTTTCTAGCCCCTTCTTTCCTACAAAGTTTCTTTTGAGAAATCAGCTGATAATCTTATGGGCATTCCTTTGTAGGCAACTCTCTCCTTTCCTCTTGCTGCTTTTAGGATTCTCGCTTTATCTTTAATCTTGGGTAACTTAATGATGATGTATCTTGGTGGGTTCCTCTCTGGGTCCAATTTGTTTGGGACTCTCTGGGCTTCCTGAACTTCCTAGGAGTCTATTTTCTTCCACAGTTTGGGGAAGTTTTCCTTCATTATTCATTCAAATTAGTTTTTAATTTATTGCTCTTGTTCTCCTTCTAGGATCCCTCTGATTTTGATGTTGGAATGTTTATAGTTGTCCCAGAGGTTCCTAAGCCTCTCCTCACTTTTTTGAACTTTTGTTTCTTTATTCTGTACCAGTTGGATGTTTTCTTCCTTTTGTTCCAGATCATTGATTTGAATCCCAGTTTCCTTCCCTTCACTGTTGGTTCCCTGTATATTTTGCTTTACTTCACTTTGCATAGCCTTCATTTCTTCCCTCATTTTGTGACCAAGCTCTGTCAATTCTGTGAGGATCCTAATTAACAGTGTTTTGAACTCTGCATCAGATAGGTTGTCTATCTCCTAGTCACTTAGCTCTTTTTCTGGAGTTTTGATCTGTTTTTCATTTGGGCCATTATTTCTTTGCCTGGGTGCACCTGTTATGTTGTAAAGGGATGGAGTCTTAGGTATTTACCAGGGCGGGGCAACTCTCTTAGCTGTATTGTGGCACAGTATGTCGGGGAGGGGTCAGAGAGGGAACAATGCTGCTAGTTGGCTTTGCTCTAGCCCCACTTTCCAACGAACTCTCCTGTGAGACTGGGAGTTTCCTCCACCTTTGCAACTCCCACAGGATTCCAGAGCTAGAGGTATTGAGTCTTTATTTGCCATTCAGACAGCTCTGCCTCTCCCAAGTGCCGCCTTGCTGTGCATCCTCTCAGTGCATCCTCTCAGCTCTGCTGCCCATCTCTGTCCCTCCTGCTGGTCTGGATGAATGTTTCTTTAACTCCTTGGTTGTCAGAGTTCCATGCAGTTTGATTTTCTGGCACTTCCAGTTGTTTCTTCTTTTTAAATTGCTTGTTATCCTTCTTTCGATTGTGCAAGGAAGCAAAGTGTTTCTACCCACATGCCTCCATCTTGGCTGGAACTCCTTATTTCTGTATACATTAGATAGCACACCATTCTCTTGTATTTTACTTAAAAATAATATTGCTATTTCATATTATGTGTAGTAATCCAGCTACTCTCTAGCTTTATTACCTTTTGCTGTCATTCTTTCAGTACATTGCCTTCACTTTGGAGAAATCATTAAGTTGTATCACCAGACACATTTTAACACTGTCTCCTTCCTCACTGTTCTCCAAGTCCTCCATGGCAAATGTTCCCTATTCAAGTATGCTATATCAACTGATACGATGCAAACAGAAACTTGCATTCTAAACTTCAAATTCACATTCGTTTTGGCTTGCTGAGATACCTCTGAGTAAGTCAGTCTGGGTAAAACCATTTCTGTATGAAAATGTTTCTGTATAAACTGCCTGGCTTATTTATTTAGGCACTTAGATGAAACACCAAACCTGAGTCCCTTTTTTATTAAAAACACTTCTTGCCCAGGTGTCCAGTAACTGACTCTGAAGGGAATGACCGCAACCCAGCCCACGTCCCTATGAGGGCTGAGAGGTCCTGCTATGGAAGAATGTCCTGGCTCCAGAAACAGAGCTGTTATGACTAAGAGGAGCCACCAAATTACAGTGATGTTGGGCTCCAGGCTAGGAGAAAGTGGGGTACAGGAGGAACCTCCCTCTTCAGCAGGAACCTTAGTTACCACCACTTGGTGACATTGGTAGATTTACCTCCACAGGTGTTCTTGGGGTTGGGCCAAAATCACATTAACACAATTTGGGGAAAAAAGATCTAGTTCTTGAAAGCCTGAATAAATTAATCATGTACATAGAAAAAAAGTGTTAAGTACATGCCATCTTTTCATACCTGGCTTTCTACATAAGCAAGGACTAATTAAATTACAGTATTAGCTGCAGCATGTTGACACTTACTAAATGTTAAAAATACATTAGTTGTATAATAGGAGTTATACATATCACAGACTACACAAATAGTCAAATCTCCTTTGTGATGACATGGAAGTCATCTGAAAAGTATAAAGCACCCTTAAACAATTACTAGACTGGTCAACTACTAGTGGGCATGAATGTATATTGGTAAGGTCACAGCCAAATCTGACCTCAAGTATGAGCCAGTAGGTTCACAAAAATAAAACTACCCTCTGGCTGCAAAGTAACCCTAACCCTAAACCTTAACCCTGGCCATCAGTGGCCTTACAAGTGGATAACAGTACTAATCCGAAATCTATAGAGGGTTAATGGTTCAGTTGGACCCCTATTACTTTTTACAGAGTAAGGAACAGTGCATTGATTTCCACTGTGATTCTAACCACATGCACAGAGTTAAGACATTCTTGTTCTTCAAGTTTGGAAAGTACAGCTTTTAACACCCATCTGACTTCACCTTTGGAGTCCGTGACTAGTGCAATCATAAACAGAATCAAGTAGCTAACCCTGTAGTCTCTTAAAGGAATACAATTTAAGAAAGCCAGTTGTGTTCTTATCTTAAAGAACTTGAAAGAAACTGTGTGCCTCTTCATAATTATGATGAGTAAATGCTCCAGTTAGGTGATTGGAAGGCCAACCTGCACCACAAAATGGGAGGTAATCCCATGACACATCTGGCTGTAGCCATGGGGACATTGGGAAAGGTGGTTCAGTGCTGGAAAGAGTGATCTGGGTTGTCATACACTATGCATTAACACATACCTGACAGATCAAACACAATTCCTAGTTTTCATTTCCCCTCAACTCACCCTTTCTTTGGGGATGACATTAGTATGGTTTCTTACCCAGTATGAGCAGCTGATAGGCTATTTAAAATATTCTGGCATCCAAAAAAAATCCATAAATTTGAAAAGAAAACTTCTGTACTGGGGCCCGTCCTGGATAGGTGATATTTCCCCATCTGCTTTACCCCAAATGCTCCCTCACTGGAACTGTTATAAGTCTTTCTATTGAGAAACTTACCCTTGTGAGAAAATTTTGCCCACATCTTAAAGGCCTTTAAATCATATCTAAGGTCTCCCAGCCACACCTATAGCAACATGCTGTTGTAGGGTGAAGACCTGTGCCTTCACACCAGATTCTAAGCTAGGATAATTAAAGTGGCCTGATTTGGAGAGGTTCTTCTATTTGAGTTGAGTTTCCATCAAAATTAATAATCAATTTGTTTAGGCTCAGACACCATGAAGCCAAGGTATCATAAACATTGTTATGCCATTATCCTTCCTGTCACAAAATCTGTGTGGTTTTGCATTATTCATTGAATTAATGAAAAAACAAAACTGAATTTAAGCACTTAAAAATTTCCTTTTAGGCCCTGGCTAGTGTAGCTCAGTGGATTGGGTGCAGGCCTGTGAACCAAAGCATCATCTGTTTGATTTCCAGTCAGGGCACATGCCTGGGTTGCAGGCCATATTCCCAGTATGGGGTATGCTAGAGGCAACCACACATTGATGTTTCACTCCCTCTCTCTCCCTCCCATCCCCATCTCTCTAAAATAAATAAATAAAATCTTAAAAAAAAGAATTTCCTTTTAGACATTTTGAATGAGAGCCTAGTTCTTCCCTGATGCAGTCTGGGCACAGATGCCACCAAGAATGGCATCTTTATTAACCTCTAATGAGTATGCTCTAAGTGCTATTTGTAGAAGAGAGATGGTCTCCTTTTAAGTTTGATCCCTTTATTACTAAGTATTATGCCTGGTGTAAAATAAAACACAATAAAGCCAAGAACAAAACATAAAGGATGAGAACTGTTTTGCTGAATATGAGGCAACAAGAGTCTTGACTTTCGTCTCTGCTTTTGCAGTTATGCAAAGATTCAGTGAATAGTAGCAGGCCTAAATTTTTAAGTTACCAGGGCTGCTGCAAAGCTTGTACCTTAATTACCAGTGAGTGCTTTTTTATCTCCTGCCAGAGATGCAGATATACCGAAAAGGATGCACATTAATTATGGGAAAAAGGGAAAGGATAATGGAAAAGCATGCCTCTTACTCATGGGTAAGATTGGCTTTGGGCAGCCCAGACAGAGAAAAGCTTCATAGCTGGTTCTAATCCTGAAAGTCGTTAGAAGCCATCTGAGAAAGTGGGGCATTGAGCTAGTCAGGTTTATCCACTTGGGGGCAGGTGATACCTTAATATCCTTGTCCTCCAAGACATCTTTTCCAGCAACTACTAGATTAGTGAGGGATTTGCTCCAAACACACTGGAGAGCCACATGGCAACTGTTTGCTTCTCGCTTTTCCCATGACATATGGATAAAGGTGTGCTGCACATAATTGTAGATTACTTCAGATCAGCCACTAGGTCTTCTCTTAATTTTTTCTTTACAAGTAGGGTAACAGTCAATTCTAATATGGATGGTTTTCAGGCGTTGTTTTTGCAATATTCTGATTCTTATTATATTTGAAGATTCTGTAGAGTGTAAAGCTATAAAGAGTTTGGGAATTTTCCTCCCTTATGGGTGGGGGGTGGGGGTTCTTCATTCCAGTCCACAGAATCCTTATCCATCAGCACCACAATGTGGCACTCTCTCTCCCCTTTCTTGGCACAGCCCACCTTGATGGGCAGGATCAGTTCTTCAAGGAAGTGATCAAACTGCTTGAGAGCATTGCCATTAGACAGTTAATTCAATAAACCACTCAGACCTTGGTATCAGATAGTGTTGAAGTGCTAATGCAGAGGTAATCATCTCTATCCCAGACCTTAGGTATCTCTGGGATAGAGATGTCATCAGGACAATTGATGATACCAGTTTTGTAATCCAGCACAGTTTGAAAGACAGTTGCACTGATTGCTTCAGCAATCTCACTCCCCCTTCTCTTTGGGCCATATGAAGTTGTACTCTCTTCCTTGTCAGTGTCCTTCCCAACTGGTATCCAGAAGAGCAGTGAAAATTTGTGGATTCCTCACAAAACATGCGCTATCTGCAAGAAGTATTACTTTCTCTGGTGCCTGGGAATGAACATTACTGCTAAAGTCTGTTTCCAGAATATTCTGGAGCAATGAAGTGTTGGTTCATGGTTTCATTTACTCCTGCTTTGAAAGAAGCTAGAGCCTTTGATGTGTTTAGAAAATGGCATTATGTGACGGAACTGAAGATTTGCTAGCTGAGAGGCATAGTCAAGTAAAGGTCATTATTCCTGGGTCCCAGAGGATAAGATTTTGAAGACCAGAAATCAGGTTATCTGTTTCTTTTTCTTGGGCTGCAGCTGAGATTTCATCCACCAGGCAGCTGGTCTGCTGCAATAACCTGCCCGTCTCACTGCCACAGTGAACATTCATTCTTGGACTGTACACTGACCTTTCTTCTTGATCAGAAAAAAAGTCCTGCCGCTCCCTGCTCTGCTTTTGTGCCAGAGGTGAATCTGCCCTGGGGGCACGTACACAGCATCCACAGAAGCTGCCATCCCCTTGGGGATAGCAGTGCCCAAGCAACTTCAACTCCTCTTAAATGACAACTCTTCTCTCAAATTTTTTTAAACAAGAACAGCTTTTTCACACTTAATTTGATGATTTTTAAAAAGCAATTCACTATTTTTCAAATCATTTTCAGAGCATTCAGCTGAGTTTTCACAGAAAAAATTCTTTTTGACCTCATTTATTTATGTAACAGATTTGATTACATGATATAATCACTGTAACAATTCCAAGTTGTATAATACCTCAGTTTTGGGGGAAAGCACTACATACTTTTGACATAGACAACTCAATAGGAGAACAGATATCTACTAGAAAGTCACCTGCTGGCCACACTTTTTAATATTTAGGAGATTTTATTCTAATAGCTATAATTGCAGTGCTTGTTTGTCAAAATGAAAACACCTATGTAAAACAATTGATTACTGATTATGTATTGAAAAATATGAGAGGACCCATGACACCTAACCTACCAGTTCTGAGGTTTCCTTGTCCCAAGAGAAGTTTAACAGTTCCAGTTTATTCAGTTAGTGTTTATCAGAATACAGAAGAAAAAAAGTGCATTTAGTGCACTGATGTCATCAGTTAACACATTTTATTTAGTGGAAGGAGAAGTATTATTTATCTGGTAGGTTAACTGGAGGTCAGTTAAGAGAGCTTCCATTATAATGTTTTTAAAATGAATAGATAAGTGAATGATTGAATGAATAAGTTGTCAGCCATGTTAAGAAGAAAAATACCTGTAGGAGTGCAACACTAGATAGCTCAAGGAAAGTCCTGGATAAAGGATGGTAGAATACTTGAGTTCCAGAGTGAGGGAAGGAGTGATTGTGGAGGAAGGACACAAGGATACAAATCTGACCACTTTGTCCTATTATTTTATGTTGACTTTATGTTAACATAATCCTGTTATGTTAACTTTAGTAATCTAAACTACTTCTATTATATTAATTGTTGTAATCCTAACATAGATGCATTCTCCATACACATTATTTTCAGGTATTTAAAATATAATACAGTATTTTATTACTCCACTGTATTTTGTATTACTGTATATGTATTAAATACATATACAGTCATATACAGTATTTATTTTCAGGTATTTAATAATGAAAATAACTTTTTTCCCACTCAGATAGCTCGACTTGTTGAAATTATTACCTTTATTCTAAGTAGTGTGAAACTAGAATATTAAATAAGTCAATACAATTTTGAAAGGGTTATTAGCTCTACTTTCTTGCTGTGAGAAAGATAACTAATAGCATGCATTATATATATGTTTTAACAATTTTAGTCAAAGCAAGGTTTGTCTTATGTATTATTATTTATTATTTCATCTTCAGATTTTTAAACTGGTCTAAAATAACAATTTAAAATCTTCCCTTGTGTAGAAATGAAAATGATACATTGCTTTTCTCCATCTTAACAGAAAAAACATGGACCCATTTGCCAGAAAACTGCCACTAAAAAACGGAAGACTTTTGATTCAAGCAGACAGAGAGCTGAAGGAACTGATATTCCAACAGTAAAACCTCTTAAACCTAGGGTAATTGTATAACCTATGAACAGTGTGAACCTTGCTATTACATATATATTGAAAAAAAATTATAATTATCTATTATACTAAGATTGAAGAATAAGCAGGATTTTGTGTAGTGTTCTCAGTTTGGCTGCAAAGGAGAAGCCTAACTATTGTCTCAAACTCTCACTATTACAGTGAGGTTTTTGTAGCATTGGAGAATCACTTGCTTAGCTGTAGGCTGGAAATAATTAGAAGTCCTCACATGTTCCTTTTAAGTCATTGTTAATTACCTCAGATAAAATTTAAGTATGTTAAAGTCTCTCTTACCAGTAAGTAATGTGATAAGTATATGTAAAAGTAAAGCTATTATTTATAGATATCTTAGCATAATAAATACTGATTATCTTCATTGATTGATTGTCATTATTTGTGACCTTACTGTGCTTTCTTCAGGAAAGTTTTATTGCTTGCTCAACTGTCTACACACAGCCATTTTCAGCTTTTTTTCTTGTAATCAAAGCACTGAATCTCCTATGATAATGTCTCTTTAAAACCACTGTGATATGTTATATTGCTAAGAATAAGTCATATAAATACTTTGTCCGCAAAGTATTTATAGAGTTATTTAAATAGTTATTTCAGTGAAATATTCAAATTTGAGTACCTTACTGAATAGGTTTTTGAAACAGAACCCTGCTTTCAGTGTTAATACCTTCTCCCAGTAGCACAGGAAAGCATTTCTCTATGGGGCAATTAATCTTACTAATAAAAGCATTTGGTAAAAGAAGAATCATGTTCATTTTTGTATTTTCATCTATTTATCTAAGAGAATACTGGTGAAGTTTGAATAAGGTAAAACATTATTTGAAGTTTTCCTTAGTCACCTGCCAGATGTATAATTGTATTCACTTTAATTAGCTTAGAAGAAATACTGTTGAAATCTTTGGGAGCATATAACATAGTGGGTATAAACAAGGGCTCAAAGAGTCAGACTGCTTAGTCTTAACTCTGACTCTGCTACTTACCATGTTGTGATGAGTGTTACTTAATCTATACTTTTACTTATCTGTAAAATGGTAATAGGAGTGGTAGCATCTATTGTGGGGTTATTAAGGGGATTATATAAATTTATCTATGGCGATCTCTTGATAAATATTGTCCTATATCTTTCCTAAGTTTATATACTTAAAAATTAGTCTTCAGAAAAAATAAAAGCCGTATATTGACATTAAGTAGCTTATATTCTTACTACCTAAATGATCGTACATAGAGTAATAATATCAGTGCTATTTGGGAACTTGTTAGAAATGCAGAGTCTCATGTTAGAGATGCATACTCAATTAGAACCTACATTTTAACTTCATCCTTATTTGAGTCATATGCATATTAAAGTTTGAGAAGCAGTATGTTAAAAGATTTTTAACATCATAGTGTAGTTCTCAGTATCTATCTGTATTGAGGAAATTCTACAATATCATAAGCACAGTGGAGCAAAGCAAATAACAAACTTCATTTTTTGAGAAAGCAAAGGCAGTCATAATCCACAGAACACAAAATGTAAGGGCTTCCCAGAGCAACTGAGATCCAGCAGAAGTTACCTATTAAGGAAACACTAGAAGTTGCTGTGGGGAGCGATTATGGCCAAGAATCTGGGAACCTGGAATCTTAGGCGAGAGGTCTCCTTAGCTTACAGGTGACTTTGATGGTGAAGTGTCTTATCAGGAAGTACATACCTTGTTTACTGCAGCCAGGACAGGAACTGAGAAGAGCTGCAGGGCCTTGGATAGCCAGGAACCAGAATGATCCTGGCTGAAATGGAATAAAGCCAGGACAGAGGAGGTAAAGAGAAGAGGCACAGAGAGTTAAGTGGCCCTGTCAGAGACAGAGTGGTAGTAACCCTCTTGACCCATATTGTTTTAGAGAAGCAGAAGGGTGTGTCTAAGCACAGAACAGCCTTATTTACATCTGTATCTGATACAACAGAGAAGAGAGCTATTGGTTTGTGTTGCTTGGAAGGCTACCCTGGACCTCTCCTTCTCCCTAAAACCTCCTGTAAATAGCTGTACCAGGAAAGCCTAACTCATTCAGTGATTAGTAATAAAAAACCATCAGCTCAGCATTGATACAGATACTGTAGGAAAAAGGTAGAAGAGGGCAGCAAGACTGACCAGTACATGATTAATACTCATGGAGCAGATGAATATGATCAGACATTTATGACTATAAAGTACGAAACTTCAAAGTGTACAGAACAGACCAGGGATGCTGAATGATATACTATTACCAAAAGGACCCCCCTTTTTCTCCGGGAGTCTACCCCCACTAGGTTCGCTATGTCTACTGCCAGAGGACGGACTTCTCTCAATGCCAGAGATTTGTGAAAAGGAAAGGAATTATTTATTTAAAAGCTATACAGACTTAGAGTAGTGACTTAATCTCTTCATTAAAATACTAAAGTCGTTTAGAATACCCACAGACACACACAGTCCTTCCTTCTCTCTCTGCCCTAGTCTGAGGTACCATATCTCAGAAAAAGAAGTAGAAGTCTGTGATTTGGGCTCCCGGCACCATCAGCTGTGTCGCCCCTGTGATCTCCAGTTAATCCAAAGCCATGTGGCACCTTCTCATGGCCCACCAGCAAGATCCTTTCACCCCTTTTTTTCCAGGTGAAGTCTCTCCTGCTTCCTAAACCACATGGCAAAAGGGAACACCCCAAAGCTGCAGGGTCCCCACTCTTCCAAAGCTGCGTAGTTCTCCCTGATATGGCTGTCATGCCCAGGTTTAAATCCCAGCTCCAGTCTTCCTCTACAGCCCCATTTCTGACTCCTCCTACAATCAATTACACCTGACAGCATTCCAGTATTCTTCCAGCTTTACTGGGCTGCCATAGTAAGTCTGGGCAGGCATGGCCCCATGGTGTGGAGCCAGTCTTCTCCGATTCTCATGCAGGTGCTGTAACCAGGGGGAGCTGCCTCCCAGTTACATCTTGGACGGAAGTCACTCCCATACCCCTGGCTCAAAGTATGGCCACAGCTGTTTAACATATCTATGCAACCAGTTAAAGGTTATAGGTATGTTAAATGACCATACCAGAGGTTAGCTGCAAAGCTGTTGCTATTCAATACAGCTTGGAATGGCCCTGCTCCATGTGTCCCATCCCCCAGCTCAGACTTCTGGGGGTGGGGATATATATATATAATATTTCCTGGACACCTTGAGTTCTGGACCCCATTACAAATCCCTATTTAGGGCACCCCTCTTGGCTGCACCCTGTTACAAAAGTATCAGTCATCTCAAACATTGAAATGTGCTTATACTTAGTTTAGATTTTTGCATCTATATTAATGAGAAATGAGTCTATAATTTTTGTTTTTATCAAAGTTTTGTTTCATAAGACTAGTTAGAATGTTGTTCATTTTCTCTTTTCTTAAAGATTGATGCTATTTTTAAAAAATGTAAGAGCTCAACAGGAAAGGCATCTGGGCCAAATTTTCTTTTGTGGGTTTTTTAAATAACAGATTCGTTTTAAAAACATATATAAGAATATAAGACTATTGTGATTTTATGTTTCTTACCTGATGTATATAGTGTGCTAAGGATATTGTTTATTTCTTAATTATCAAATTTATTAACTTAAAGTATTTATAATGTTTTCTTTTTCATGTTTGTAAGAACTGGATCATGTACTATTTTCTGTTTTTGGTAATTTGTATTTTTTTCTCTCTCTTGATTAGTCTTACCTTATTATTGTTTTTGAAGAACTATCTTTTGACTGTGTTGACCCAACCTATATTCTTGATTTTAAAAATAAAGACATAATAAGAATAGTTGGCTATTTCAATAATATAATAAAATAAGTCTGTTGTAGCACAAGAGCCAGCATCATGTTTAGTGGAAAGATACTTAGAAGTAGTTCCATTAAAGTCGGGAGCAAAATTAAGCTCTAACCAATATAGTAAGTGCCAGCTGATAGATAATAACAAGAAATACAGTGTGTAAGGATTGGAAAAAAGGAGGTAAAACTGCCATTATTATGAGAGAAAAACCCAGAAGAATATGATTAATTACTGCCAATAATAAGTCAGTGAAGAAATGAAGTGTAATGTTAGTACAGAAATTACTAGTTTTTATATTTCATATTTCAACAGTTTATAACATAAAAATGAAGAATAAGAGAGTAACACCAAATATATAATATTTCAAAATAAACCTTATAATAATAATAAAAATATAAGATACCAAATATATAATATTTAGGAATAAACCTTATAATAATAAAAATATAAGACTCTATTATTATTTTTATAATAATAAAAATTTAAAAAATGAAAGAAAAAGTTCAGAAATAAGCCCAAATACAAAGGAGAATATGGGAAAGGTATTATCCCAGTTCAGTAGGGAAAAAAGTCAATCAATGATGGTGAAACAGCTACATAGCCATGTTAATGAACAAAAAATAAAGTGAAATCCATATGCTACACCAGCCATCAGGATAAATTCCAAATGAATAAGAGGTTTAAACATTTTTACATCAAAACATGAAAGTTCTGGGTGGAAACATGGAAGATGTTTTCATTTTACTCTGGTGTGAGATTAGGCCTTACTAACTGTGACTACAAACGCAGTGACCGCAAAGAAAAGATTTGCAAGTTAAACTCCATTAAAAAAATAAATTTTTATATCAGAAGACCTTTAGACAAGGTCAAAAGACAGACATAATTGTTAGGGAAGGTTGGGGCTAGTCTCTAAAGAGTTACTGGAAATTTTTTAGGGGGGAAAAAAAAGACCAATAACCTAACAGATAAGTTGACCAGGCATATATAAACAGTTCCACAGAAAAGTCAATACAAATGATTCTCAATGATATGAACAGATCCTCAATATTATTCATTATAAAAGAAAAGTCAGTTAAAACCATAGAGAGAACTATTTTTCACCTCTAATCAGTTAACCCAAAAGTGTGATAACATACCTCAGAAACTATGGAAAACAGGGAAATACACTCTTAGTTGTAATTTAAATGCATGTCACACCTACAGAAGTCAATTTAGCATTGTCTGTCACAATTACAATTGTATTTTTAAAATTACATATAAGATAGTGGCATAAAGTTCTTTTTTGTAATTGTAAATTTGGGGAGGAAATCATTTAAGGACTCCTGGTAAGAGGATTTTTAATATGACATTTCTTCAAGTTTTACCTTAATTTATTATTAAAAAAATGTTTCAAAACATTTTTCTTTTCTTTCAATAGCCTGAACCTCCAAAGAAACCATCTAATTGGAGAAGAAAACATGAGGAATTCATTGCCACCATAAGAGCAGCAAAAGGCCTTGATCAGGCACTTAAGGAAGGGGGCAAGCTTCCTCCTCCTCCTCCACCTTCTTATGATCCGGGTATGTGGACTGTTGTGGACAGTAATGTTCATGTGGGGAGAAAATAGTGATAGCAGTTTTATAAATTTTAAGTTGCTATTAAACTTAATTCACTATAATGGAGCATGATGAAGTATAATCTTTAATTTTTTTGCTACAAAATAATGGTGATAATAATCATTTGGACTAAGACACATCAGTGTTGAACATAGAAATGCATTATCTTTTTATCTAAATACTTTTATTTAAACATAAAACATAATTTTAAAAACTATTATAATTACTATTAAATGTTAGTATTCTAGGAAAGATTTTAATGATGTTCACTGTGAATTGAAATGTAGTCATTCAGTAAGATTTAGATAATGTTGCCTAGTTCTTTGAAATATTCTCATCTGGGAAGGAAAAAAATTCATAATATTGCTTCAGAAATGTACAGTTCATATGAGGAAATTGCCACATAAACTGATATACCTAAAGTATGTCCTAAGCTCATGTATTATGTTTTCTTCATTGAATGGGTAAAAGTTGTTTGTTATTGTTAACAAAAGCAAGACAGGATGCTGGCAACCCCATTTGAGATATTAAGATAGTAAAAGATTTAAAATAGCACAGTTGACATTTTAACATTGGTTATTAGTGTAGCCTGAAGAGGCAGTTATTTTAATGTAACAAGTTAACTGCATGAAAATTATGTTAGTATTCTAGATTGGGATTTATTTCTTAGTAAAGAGAAATTTCTTTAGAAAACCTAGATATGATCAATTTTCATGTTTAGTTGTTGAGAAGAACTCAACAAATTATAGGATTTACAGGCCACAGGGTCTCTCTTTTGCAACTACTCAGCTCTGTTGCACCTGTTACAGGAAATCAGCCACAGACAATATGTAAATAAATGGGCATGTTTGTGTTCTAATAATACTTTATTTATCAAAACAGGCAGCAGGCAGTCCCAGGGGCCCTAGCTTGCCAACCTCTGTTCTAGAGTAATTAACTTTAAGGCTAGGATTGTTTCTGGGATGACCTAACTAGGTTTGGATCTCTTCTAATTCTTCCTAGTTTTCCCCATGAAGTTGAATTTTCTCTCTGTTTTGGAGGTATTTGAGTATTGATTTGGGTTTTAGAAATTTTTAAATCTCTTAGTCTTGACAAAATAACTCATTTGTTTTTAGAAGTTTTAGACCTACTCTAATTAGTGGTACAAATTTTTGAGCTTCAGATGAGTGTAAATTCTAAAGGGTAAACTCCCTCTCAAAGGTAAATTGACTGTATAAAGTCAATTAAACTATTTTTTGACAGTTTTCTTCTAATAGAATTAAAAGACTTTACCAGATCTCGAATTTATAATATATTTTGAAAATATATGTTATTACTGTTTAACTGTTCTACCACATAAAATATGTATATGTGATAAAATATTGCATTATAGAAATGAAAAAGAAATAACATTTTTCATCTACTTATTCATATTTTGTATCCATGATTTTTTCCCCTCAAATTTGATTCTACTGGAAGAACATTGGAATTTATCGTACTAACAGACTTCATGCTTACATATCTTTTACTAAATTTGGATAAGTCAGATTGGGTGGTTATAAGGAAATAAGAGATTTTGTGTATCAAATATCTTTATATATGTGTTTATGCTTGTCTTTATATAAAGTCATAATTCTTTATGTCTCATTTCAAATATTATGTTATTAAGTTGGTTCTTTTTTTGCTTTAGATTATATTCAGTGTCCATATTGCCAGAGGAGATTTAATGAAAATGCAGCTGATAGACATATAAATTTCTGTAAAGAACAAGCAGCACGTATTAGTAACAAAGGCAAATTTGCATCTGATGCCAAAGGAAAAGCTACTTCTCGGACCCAGGTGAAATGCACTACTTAATCATTTCTACAAACAGATGAGAAAATGACTTTTTCAAGTTTACTGTTTTGTGGTTATGTTTTATAGAACATTTAAGTAGTTTTCTCATCTGTTAACATTTAGATATTACTATTCAAGGATTTAGTAAGAAATTTGAATGGCTAATTGAAAACAAATATTTAAAAATAATCGGTTTGAAATGGACTTGAGTTAGTAGAGACTTGAAAATATACAGATTTTAAAGAAGTATTAGGGAAAAGTAAGAAAATAAGTAAAAATAGGTGAAGCAGATGCACAGGAAACCAGAGGTGTCAGAGGAATAAGAAAATGACAGTAAAATCCTCTTTTGAAAATTATGTAAGTACTGAATATTTCCATGCTATATATAAGTAATGCATATGAGGGAATGGATATAGGGTCAAATCCAAAATGCTACTTTTAGTCTTTATTTCTTCACCTGTGAGGTGGTAATCTACATGAGTATTGTGAAACACAGGTGAACTAATGCCTGTGAAAGCACTTAGCACACCATTAACCATATAAGGATATTGTTATACTAAATTTATTTTTATAATACTGTTGTTTTTCTTAAAATATATTGTTACACCAAAACACTGATAATGTCATACTTCCAGCAAATACCATTTTTTACAAAGCTTTCATTTGTAAATAATTTTTCAGTAGTGTAAATCTAGCAGATAGTAAATAAATCCATTTCTCTTATTTCTTATTAATGAAATACTGACTTAAAGGACTCCATTAAATTTGGGACCTCTTTGAGAGAGTATTTTCACTGAGTTTTTGTTAGTATTATTGGAAATAGAGCACATCAGTATCATCATCATTGTGCACAAGGAACAGTGTCTCTTTGAATAATTTCCACACCAGAGGTCAAACAACATATATCTTTTATACAAATAGTTAAGAACAGTAATCTGATTTTTTGTATTATTTTGTTTCAAGAATAAATTAGTAGAGCAGAGAATATACAATAAAATGTGTATATTCCAACAATTTGTTGGCAAATGGTTGATGAATGTAAAATCCAGGTAGTTGATTTTTCACCTTCAGTTGTTTCACTGCTGATTCCATGTCTAGTCATACATGTTCATTTTAGTTTAACCCCATACTTTCTCATCTGTCCATTCAAGAAGTTTTTATTGAGTACTCTCTTTGAATCAGACACTGTAGCAAGTACTGGGTCTATTAGTAAACTAAATACAGTACTTTTCTAAAGATGCTTAAATGTATCCATGTCATATTTGGCAACTGTACTTTCACCAGCACTCAGTATTATCAGTTCTGAGCATTTTTAGTGCTTAGATGAACGGTGGGTTCAAATAGCAATTTCTGCCATTTTATAAGAAATGAATGGCCTCCATATTCTTTGAGCTTTTCTAATTTCAATAAAAAGTCTTGGTCAGTATAAATATTTTACTAAGGAAATATTAGATTTGTGATCTTCATACAAACACATGAAATAATCAGCATGTAATACTGAAATGAAAGAAATATACATTGACTGTAATTGTATTAAAATAAAAGTATTTTGTTATTCTGAATGAACTTACACAAAATTGTTGATAGCTAAAGTTATCCTGAAAGCCTTTATAATTCTTTTAAAATCTCAGCTAGATGTTTTAGAGTAGGTAAAATACAGCTTAGTAAGGAAGAAGTCAGAGTATCTAGGTCAGGGGAACAGTGACTTACTGAGAGGCAGGTGAATATGTTTTAAACAAGAGGCATTCATGATATGAGGATTCAGAAAGGCAACTAACCTGACTAGTTCTTGTTGAAAGTAATAGAATTATTATAGGAGATAAATAAGGTTGAGCTAGGTTCTAGGTACCTCAGGAAACCTGACAATAAAATTGAGTAAAATGGTAGGTGGTCTAATACAGAAAGTGGAAAAACAAAGGACCTTTTGAAAGGAATATTCTGCTTTTTTCTATTTGTAAGCCATTAACTTATTAATAATAAATTCTAATATGTACATAAAAATCTATAGTCCCTGATATATACTGCTATGAGAGCTCTTCCTACCTATGCTCAACCTAAAGATTTGACCTCTTAATCAACATATAATATGCCATCCTTCATTTATGCTGATCAGTTTGTTCTTTTTTTGGTAATTAGCAAAATATGAGTGTCACCAATTCTGTTTCTTAATTCAGTTTTATGGACCCTATTTTTAGTAGACATATCTCTGATATGTTGACAAATCTTTGTTAGGTCTTGTTTTCTATATTTTTGTTTATTTTAAAATCTTTCCTTATGTCTTCATTGGTATTTTAATGAGAGAGACATACTAACAGGTGTCCTTACAAACCAGAAACACCTGTTAGATTTTTAAAGAAACTTTTATATGGCTTATCTCCAAAGTCTCCTAGTCATTTGTTCATCTAACATAATTATTGAAGCTTTTCTATTTGCTACATGCTTAAGAAATTTCAGTTTTTGGCATAATAGTTCCAAAGGTGCATGGTACTCGAGTGTGTGTGTGAGACCTTTGTATAAAGATTTTTTTTTAAAGGTTATATACTGAATTTCAAAGAGTTATAATGTTTGACTTTAAAATTTGTGTTTAGCCAGCAGCATTTTAGTAGTAGTGCTACTACTGATTATTGGCTATGAAATACAATTTGATTTTTGAAAATCAGGTTTAAAACCATTTTCACAAAGTCCTAAGCAGTCTAGATGCATTGTGCTAAATCTCAAGTGTGTATGCAAGCACAGCAGCCACCTCATAGTCAAAGTTTTGGGCTGGAACTAAGGTAGCATGAATCTTAAATTTTGTTCAGTTGTTAAGTTGGGGTCTAATGCTGGGCGAATGCATTTCTTTCTATCACAGCAGGTGACATTTTTTATTTAGTATATGAGCAAAGTTTGGCTCATACAAGACAGTAAAATAAAATTAATAGTGATGTTCCTCTAGAGAATGGAGCAAAAATAAAAATAAAATAAGCTGATGTACTCTATCTTTCCTCAACCAATATCCCATTCATCTGACATGGTCTGGCAAGCATGGTGAAGCCAGACTTGGCTCTGTCTCTTCATACTGAGAATATCCAAAAGGCAGCTGTTGTAAAACTTGTCCTTATTGATATGTAATCTTAGAAACTTTTACCAGGAAATTTGACAGGATTATACGTATGGAATAAAAAACTGTACCAGGAACATGCAAAATCCTCACCTTTAAAGCTGCACCACCTAATGAGCATCATTATGTGTCTAAGTTTTTCTGTTAGTACTTGCTTGGCATTTAAAATCTAACATTGGGGAAATATTTTCCATTAAACCTTTCCCTGCTCTGTGAACTGGGAAAAGCTGATTTTTGTTTATTTTAGCAGTGGGACATCTGAGCCAAACTTTTAGTACACCAGTTTTGAGAAGGAACATATTTGGGGAACCTCTGTCTGAGATGACACTTTTTTTTTAAAGATTAACCCTCCCCTGAGAATATGTTTATAGATTTTTTTCTGAGAGAGAAAGAAGAAGGGACAAAGAGTGAGAAGAAACAATCGATTGCCTCACATATGCTGCCTGACCGGGGATCAAACCTGCAACCTAGGTATTCATACCAACCAGGACTCGAATCCAGAACCTTTTGGTGTATGTGATGATGCTCAAACTAATTGAGCTACTTCGCCAGGGCTGAAATGATACTTTTTAAAAATTTAATTGTTGTTGAAGTACAGTTTTCTGTCTTTTACTCCCATCCCAGCCAACCCCCACCCCAAGTCCTTCCCACCTCCCTCCCATTTCCATGCCCCCTAGTTTTTGTCCATGTGTCCTTTATACTTGTTCCTGTAAACCCTTCCCCTTTTCCCCTGAAATTCCCTCTCCTCTCCGCTCTGGTCAGCCTGTTCTCTATTTCACTGTCTTTGGTTATATTTTGCTTGTTTGTTTGTTTTCTTGTTTAGCTTCCTGTTAAAGGTGAGATCATATTGTATTTGTCTTTCACTGCCTGACTTATTTAGCTTAGCATAATGCTTTCTGTTTCCATCCATGCTGTCACAAAGGGTAGGAGCTCCTTTCTTTCTGCTGCATAGAATTCCATTGTGTAAATGCACCATAGTTTTTTGATCCATTCATTTGCTGATGGCCACATAGGTTGCTTCCAGCACATGGCTATTGTAAATTGTGTTGCTGTGAACATTGGGATACTTAGGTTCTTTTGGATTGGTGTTTCAGTAGTCTTAGGATATAATCCTAGCAGTAGAATTGCTAGGTCAAAAGGCAGATCCATTTTTAGTTTTCTGAGAAAATTCCATACTGTTTTCCATAGTGGCTATACCACTCTGCAATCCCACCAACAGTGCACTAGGGTCCCCTTTTCTCCCCAGCCTCTCCAACACTTGTTTGTTGCTTTGTTTATGATGGCCATTCTGACCAGTGTAAAGTGGTATCTCATTGTGGTTTTAATTTGCATCTCTCTGATAGCTAGCAATGTTGAGCATCTTTTCATATGTCTCTGGGCCCTCTGTATGTCCTCCTTGGAGAAGTATCTGTTCAAGTCCTTTGCCCATTTTTTAATTGGGTTGCTTGTCTTCTTAGAGTGAAGTCATGTAAATTCTTTATATATTTTGGAGATTAAACCCTTGCCTGAGGTATCATTGATAAATATGTTTTCCCATACAGTTAGTTCTCTTTTTATTTTAATGCTGCTTTCTTTAGCCATGCAGAAGCTTTTTATTTTGATGAGGTCCCATTTGTTTATTCTTTCCTTTATGTCCCTTGCTCTAGGGGACACGTCAGTAAAAATGTTGCAGTGTGGAATGTCTAAGATTTTCCTACCTATGTTCTCCTGTAGGACTTTAATGGTATCATGGCTTATATTTAAATCTTTTATCCACCTTGAATTTATTTTTGTGTATGGTGTAAGTTGGTGCTAGAGTTTCATGTTTTTGCACGTAGCTGTCCAGTTCTCCCAACACCCTTTATTGAAGAGGCTGTTTTTACTCCACTTTATGTTGCTGCCCCCTTTGTTGAATATTAATTGACCATAGAGACTTGGGTTTATTTCTGAGCTCTCTGTTCTGTTCCTTTGGTCCATGTGCCTGTTTTTATGCCAGTACCAGGCTGTTTTCATTATAGTGGACTTGTAATACAGTTTCGTAGCAGGTATTGTGATCCCTCCTACTTGCTCTTCTTTCTCAAAATTGAAGCAGCTATTCAGGGTCATTTATGGTTCCATATAAACTTTTGAAGTGTTTGTTCTATTTCTGTGAAATATGCCATTGGTACTTTAATAGATATTGCCTTGAATCTGTAAATTGCTTTGGGTTATATGGACATTTTGATGATGTTAATTCTTCCGATCCATGAACATGGTGTATGCTTTCATTTACTTGTGTCTTCCTTGATTTCTTTCTTCAGCATTGTGTAGTTTTCTGCATATAGGTCTTTTACCTCCTTGGTTAAGTTTATTCTTAGGTATTTTATTTTTCTTTTTGCTATATCGAGTGGGATTTTTTTCTTGATTTCTGCTTCTGCCGTTTCATTGTTGGTGTACAAAAATGCCTTTGATTTCTGGATATTGACTTTGTATCCTGCTGTTTTGACAAATTCATTTATTAGGTTGAGAAGTTTTTTGGCGGAGTCTCTAGGATTTTCTGTGTACACTATCATGTCACCTGCAAACAATGACAGTTTTGTTTTCTCCTTCCCAATTTGGATGCCTTTTATTTCCTTTTCTTGTCTAATCACTGTGGCTAAAACTTCCAGTACTATATTAAATAGAAGTGGTGAAAGTGGACAAACTTGTCTTGTTCCTGATCTTAGTGGAAAAGATTTTAGTTTTTGCCCATTAAGTATGATGTTGGCTGTAGGTCTCTCATATATGGCCTTTATTATGTTGAGGAATGCTCCCTTTATTCCCACTTTGCTGAGTGTTTTTATCATAAATGGGTGCTGTACCTTATCAAATGCTTTTTCTGCATCTATTAATATGATCATGTGATTTTTGTCTTTGCGATGTATTACATTTACTGATTTGCAAATATTGAACCATCCTTGCTTGTATCCCTGGGATGTATCCCACTTGGTCATGGTGTATGATCTTTTTAATGTGTTGTTGGATGCAGTTTGCCAATATTATATTGAGGATTTTAGCCTCTATGTTCATCAGTGATACTGGCCTGAAGTTTTCTTTCTGTGTTGTGTCTTTATCTGGTTTTGGGATTAGGATGATGCTGGCTTCATAAAATGAGTTTGAGAATCTTCCATTCTTTTGGATTTTTTGGAATAGTCTGTGAAGGATAGGGGTTACCTCTTCCTCAAATGCTTTGTAGAATTCTCCTGTGAAACCATCTGGTCCAGGGCTTTTGTGTGTTAGTAGTTTTTTTATTACTGCTTCAATTTCATCTGCTGTTATTGGTCTGTTCAGGCTTTCTGCTTCTTCATTGAGTTTTGGAAGATTATATTTTTCTAGAAATTTGTCCATTTCACCTAGGTTTTCAAATTTCTTGGCATACAGCTCTTTGTAGTAATTTCTTACAATCCTTTGTATTTCTGTGGTATCGGTAGTGATCTCTCCTCTTTCATTTCTGATTGTGTTTATTTTGGTCCTCTCTTTCTCTTGATAAGCCTGCTTAAAGGCTTGTCAATTTTGTTTCTCTTTTCAAAGAACAAACTCCTGGATTGATTGATCCTTAGAATTGTGCTTTTAGTCTCCATATCATTTAATTCTGCTGTGATCTTGATCATTTCCTTCATTCTACTTGCTCTGGGCTGTCTTTGTTGTTGTTCCTTGAGTTATTGTAGGCGTAGGGTGAGGTTGTTTGTTAGAATGTTTCTGTTTTTTTTAGGTAGGCCTGTATTGCTATGAACTTTTCTCTCAGGACTGCCTTTGTTGTGTCGCATAGTTTTCGGTTGTTGTGAATTCATTTGGTTTGTTTTCAGAAACTTTTTGATTTCTTTCCTAATTTTATTCTTGACCCATTCATTGTTTAATAACATGCTATTCAATCTCCATGGTTTTGAGTATTTTGGGTTTTTCTCCTTGGGGTTGGTTTCTAGTTTCAGTCCCTTGTGGTCAGAGAAAATGCTTGGTATGATTTCAATTTTCTTAAATTTGTTGAGGCTTGTTTTGTGTCCTATCATGTGGTCTATATTTGGAATGGTTCCATGTGCATTAGAAAAGAATGTGTATTTAGCTTCTTTGGGATGAAGGTTCCATATATATCAATTAAGTCCACTTCATCTAGGGCATTGTTCAATGCCACAATAATTTGTTGATATTTTATTTGGAAGATCTGCCCACTTTTGACAGTGGGGTGTTAAAATCCCCTACTATAATTGTGTTGCTGTCAATATCTTTCCTGAAGTCCTCTAACATTTTCTTTATGTATTTGGCTGCTCCTATGTTGGGTGCATATATATTTACAATGTTTATGTCTTCTTGGTGGATTCCTCCCTTGAATATTTTGAAGGGACTTTCTGGGTCTCTCTTTATGGCCCTTTTTTGAAGTCTATTTTGTCTGATATGAATATTGCTACCCCAGCTTTTTTTCCTGTCCATTTGCTTGGAAAAAATTTTTCCAGCCCTTCGCTTTCAGTCTATGTAAGTCTTTTGGGTCTCTTGGGGGCAGGGTATGTGTGGGTCATGCTTTCTTATCCATTCAGCTATTCTATATCTTTTTATTGGAGCATTTAATCCATTTACATTTAAGGTTATTATTGATATATACTCATTCATGGCCATTTTTGTACCTTTGTCTTCTCCCTCCCTCTCTCTCTCTCTCTCTCTCTCTCTCTCTCTCTCTCTCTCTCTCTCTCTCTCTCTTTACCTTCCTTTCCTTAAAACAGTCCCTTTAGAATCTCTTGCATAGCTGGTTTGGTGAAGGTGTATTCTTTTAGACTTCTTTTGTCTGGGAAGGTCCTTATTTGGCCTTCTATCTTGATTGAGAGCCTTGCTGGGTAAAGTAGCCTTGGTTGGAGGCCCCTGGTTCTCATTACTTGAAATATTTGTTGCCATTCTCTTCTGGCTTTGAGCATTTCCCTTGAGAAGTCAGCTGCTAACCTTATTGGGGCTCCCTTGTATGTTACTTCCTGTTTTTCCCTTGCTGCCTTTAAGATTCTCTCTTTGTCTTGGAATTTTGCCATTTTAATTATGATGTGTCTTGAAGTGGGCCTCTTTGGGTTCCTCTTGATTGGGACTCTTTGTTTTTTCTCGACTTGTGTGGCTATTTCTCTAACCAAATTAGGGAAGTTTTCCATCATTACTTTTTTAAACAGGTTTTCTATCCCTTGCTCTTCTTCTCCTTCTGGTATCCCTATTATGCGGATATTATTACATTACATGTTGTCCTGCATTTCCCTTAACCCCTGTTCAGTCTTTTGGAGCCTCTTTTCCTTTTCTTGCTCATTCTGGGTGTTTTTTTTCTACTTTGTCCTTCAGCTTGCTGATCTGATCCTCTGCTTCCTCGATCCTGCTTTTGATTTCTTCTACTGTGTTCTTCAGCTCAGAAATTGTATTCTTCATTTCCTCTTGGCCCTTGTTGGCAATTTCTATTTCCTTTTTCATGTTGATACAGTTTTCACTGAGTTCACTGTAATTTCCCTGTAGTTTCTGGTAATTCACTGTGAGCTCATTGAGCTTCCTGATAACCATTGCTTGGAACTCAATATCCTGATAGTTGACTTGCCTCTGTTTCATTTAGCATTCTTTCTGAAGCTTCCTCCCTTTCTTTCATTTGGGGATTGTTTCTTTGTCTTCCCATTGTTTGTGAGACTCTTCTTGTTAGCCTCAGCTTCTTAAATTGTTCTGTTGTGACTCCCTGGGTTTATGATATGGACTTCTGTGGTAGAAGACCTGTGAGATTCAGTGGTGCAGTCTCCTTTATCTCTCAAGCTCACTGGTCTTGGGCTGTCATTTAAGTTGGCTCTGAGTTTGTTTTTGGGTTTTGAGTGTTGTTGTGTCTTTCTTTGGTGGGTCCTTCCCACCAGCTGTTTTGAGTGAGGGAGGGTTACTCTGTACACCACCTGTTGTAATTTGTTGTTCTGGTGAGGGCCAGTTGTGTTGAACTTGTTTCTTCCATGTGTACAAGGTTTTGAGGATTCTCTCTTGCTCTTGTTCAGTTGTTTGTTCTGGGTAATTTATCCGCTATTTAGTTGTATTTCCAGATAAGTCCTGGATTGAGATTAGTGTGGATTCCACTGTCTCATTCACCTTCTTCTGTTGTTCTCTTTTGGTGGTTCCTTTGTTGTTGGGTTTCTTCTTCTAGTGGGTATTCTCGTGTTCACATCTTCCACCTGCTAGGTTCTCTGTAATAGCAAAGTCAAATTTATAGCACTGTCTCAGCTGTTTGGATGCCCGTCTTTGGGTCCAGCTCTGGTCTTTTCACAGTTCCAGGTTTTTTGTCTCATGTCTGATTTCTCAATGTCCTCTACAATTTTTGGTCTCCTATTTTCGTATATGTTGGGGTACTCTTGGCTGTTTGCTCTGTTCCTCCACAGATCAGATAGGTTTTTCTCCTGTGTATAGGGGGAAGTGGAATTTGCTCCCTCCTACCTTGCCGCCATCTTCCTTCAAAAACTGAAATGACACTTTTTAATCTATACTTTCTCATTTTGGATAATAGCAGCTCATACAAACATTGCTCATTGAAGGGAATGAAAAATACTAGTGTTCAAATACTAGTTAAAAATAGATATTCAAAAATTATGCTGATAACATATTTTATTTTTGTTATTTTAGTATAAGCCGCCTGCTCTTAAAAAGTCAAATTCTCCTGGGACCATATCATCAGGATCTTCTCGATTACCACAACCAAGTGGAACTAGCAAGACTGTTGTAGGTAATGAGATCTATGAAATAACTTGTTTCATTTTTGTTTTTAATAGTATTGGTAGAAAAGGAAATGAAGATAGTGTTCTATTTTGGGTTATTAAAATACATTTATAGTTAACAAGATATAGGGAGTTTAAGTAATTATTTTTGCGTAAAAATAAAGTAACTTTCAATAGCTTCTACTTTAGATATTTTATAGTCCTTTTTTTTAAGCTTCAATGCATATCCTTGAGTTGTTGATGAAGCATTTGTTCAGAATAGTCAACTAAGTTCTTTTCTTGATTCTTTATGACTGTTTTTTTCCCTCATTTCTACTTATACTGCTCTGAATGTGACAAGTGTCCTTAACATAAAATGTTTAATGGTTTGAAGAAGATATTGACTGTTGAACATGTACCTTCAGTTGTATGTGTAGTATAAGAAATATAGACATAAGAAATGAAGGATATTATATGTGGAATTCTTCTTAGTTGATAACTTGTTTAGATGTATTGCCACTAAACCATTGTTCTCCTTGTCAGATGCTATTTTATGTGACTTTTGTTTCATAATGTCATTAAAACTAATACCTTTTTATTATAAGGTGTACCTTCAGGTAAAGTGTCTTCAGTTAGCAGTTCTTTGGGAAACAAACTGCAGACCCTATCTCCCTCACATAAAGGCATAACAACCCCTCATGTAGGGTAAGTCTACATTGAATTTAATTTATTAGTGATGTACACACACGTATATATGTATATATATGCATAGGTAATACTAAGCCTTATTTTGTTTAGATAATTGGCTTTTTAATTATCCTTAATTTTCTTTCTAAATTAACTTGTCTTTTAATATTGCTGGTCAGATCTACACTCACTGCCTTTGGGGATCTAAATTAGTATAACTATTGGAAAAATATTTGATGGCATTTGTCAAGAGTCTTAAAACATTTATATTTTTGATTGAATAATTTTACTCTGGGAATCTAGCTAAGGAAATCATTTTAAATACAAAAGATTTTTGTAATAATTATTAAGCATTATGTATCAGGCACTGTGCTAGACATTTTACATATATTTTTATTAAAACCATCTGACTACCATATGATGAGAGGGCCAGAGAAGCAAAATAATTTGCCCAAAGCCACACAGCTGCTTAGAGTTGGAAGTAGAATACAAATTAGGGTCTCTTTAGCTCTAAACGTTGTTCTCCTTTCATATGCTTTTATTATAATGTATAAAATTATCTAAATATGTCTAGCTTTGTTTGAAGAGCAAAAATTGAAAATCTACAGTGGGATATTATACAACCATAAAATATATATAAATTTTAATAAACTGATTCTGCCATAACATGAATGGAATATGGAATACAAACCCCATGTTAGCTATGACAGAAATGAGAAAAATAGGTGTACAAAAAGCTAATATGCTGTAATAGTAATAGTGGGTGATTCTTTTCCTTTCATTTAGTACTTTCTAAATACTTTTTATTTTTCTACAGTTTTACACGAAGTAGAATAATTGCTTTCAACAATTATGTTTCTATAGGAAAATTATTGATAACACTGGAGATTTTAATAGAAGACCTCATAATCTAGTAGAAACTCACTTTTTCTTCCATTTCAATGTAAGAAAATTAAGGATTACTCTATCACTACTAAAATGAAGGCTATGTCTATGTCTTTAGAAACAGTGATAAAATCGACATAGGAAATATAGCACATATTACTTTCAGAGTAAGTTATCACTTCAATTTTATATAGGAAATATATATGAAAGTATATATCAAATGAGAGTAATTGCTCTTTGTTTTTTCATTTGGACTATGTTGAAAGTACAAGAACTAAAAGGAATTTAATTTCTTTTATGGAAAAAGAGAAATGATCAACTAATGAGATCTTTTTAGTTTAAATTTTTTTTTTTTATTTTTGTTTTTCTTCCAAAAAGAAGAGACAGGCTATCCTTCATAAAGAGAGTGGTTATCAGTCAAAATGGTGATTGAAAAGTAAAAGGTTCTCATCTTCTAGTGGTAAAAACTGATTTGATTTTTTTCTTCCCTACTGATTTGTCTTGACTTTATTTTAGTTTTTTTATTTATTTTTATTTATTTGTTTTTATTTTTTATCCTCACCTGAGGACATGTTAATTGATTTGAGAGAGAGAGAGGAAGTAAATTGTGATTAGTAAATGAAATAATTTCAGTGATTTGGAATTGTTTAAACCTGTATGTACACAATCTGTATTGTGTTCAGCTTTAATCTTGCATACCAATGATTCTGTCATATTTAGCATATATTGGAAACATACCACAGAAGAATTTATCCTTAATATTTATCCTAAAATTTATCCTTGTAGTTCGAAAAATTGTCATGTTTGCTGATTAACTTCTAAACAACATGCGGGTCAACCAATTTTAACATTTTTTAAGTGAAGTGTACACCCAATGGAATTTTTTCCCTTATTCTAAAAGATGGCTATCTTTAATCCTCGGAGATTTAGAAGTATTATGAAACACAAAGCTTTTAAATAAATATTGCCACATTTGAATTCTGTCATGGACTTCACAGTCATGCCTTGAGAATTGTGTTTTCTTAATAGTTAATTACCAGCTCAAGTGGATGTTTCAGTTGATAATTTTCAATAGCTAAAAGATCAAATTTCAAAGCTTTACTTCTGTTTGGTTACTTCGAAAAGCAGGAGTTTGAAGCAACAGATTACATGTAAGGAACATTTCTTAGTATAAAAATTGAATTTCGACGCCCTGGCTGGCGTAGCTCAGTGGATTGAGTGCGGACTGTGAACCAAAGTGTCACAGGTTCGATTCCCAGTCAGGGTACATGCCTGGGTTGCAGGCTATGACCCCCAGCAACTGCACATTGATGTTTCTCTCTCTTTCTCCCTCTCTTCCCTCTCTAATAAATAAATAAATAAATAAATAAATAAATAAATAAATAAATAAAATCTTTTTAAAAATTGAATTTTGTTCCTCATACTTTATATTAACAGTAGTATAAATAACTGGTTTTTAAGTACATTTTGTATTTAAATTTTTATGAAATATTCTTTTTTTTTATTGATCCACAAATGTCCAAAACAACCTAGAATTGCAGAGTTTGGCTTCTCATGTGGACAACAATGATTGAGATTATTGGATTAGGAAAGATAATTTTGTCAGGGAATTATATACCAAATTATCTGTATAAGATAAATTTGAGATCAAAAATAGGACACATTTCAGAACTTTGAATGCCTCAGATATTATAACAAAGGAGATCTACAATGTTAAGACAGAATACCAACTGTTATTATAAAATTTTTCCCAAGATTAATTCAGAAGTCATATTTTAATTATGTCTCAGTCTACTGTGCTTTCTATAGTTTTACAAGACTGAGTGGCTTATTTCTCAAGAGAATTCACTTTCATAATATTAACAGTAAACAAGGACCTCCTTCCTATAGGTTAAAGTTTATTTCAGATTAGAAATATGTAGTTGATATCATTGTCAAATATTTCTAAAACTGCTCATTCAGCTATGAATATTTTGAAAGCTTGCCAATGTATCATTTCTTTCTAGATATACTATTCATACCATAGCAGTCATATGTAGGTATAGATAGTCATTTTAAATTTATAAGTCTTGGTCAAAATAGGACAGTTTATCATCTGTAGAAATGTATCAGCTTGACAAAAGTAGTGTATTTTTGTTGGGGAACAAGGTAACATAGTGATATTTATCATAACCTTTTAATATATGGTAAAGTTTTTAAAAATTATCATTGAAATTTGCTTTTTATTTAGATTTTCAAAAATGCTGGCATTCTCTCATATATGAAATTTTGGTATTTTGAAGGAGATGATCTTGTTGAATTATGGATTGAGAGCCAAATCCTAGTATCTGTTTTTCTTTTTTTTATTTCTTTAAAAATTTTTTTGTTTCATAAATTACTTTATTGTTGTTGAATTACAGTTGTATGCATTTTCTTCACCCCACTCCCTGCCACCCCAGCCAAACCCACCTCCCTTCCTTGTTTCCACCCTACCCCCTTGGTTTTGTTTCTGTGTCCTTTATAGATGTTCCTGAAACTCCTTCTCTACACAGTCCCCTGCCTGCTCCCCTCTGGCTATTGTTAGATTGTTCTTAATTTTGATGTCTCTGGTTATATTTTGTTTGCTTTTTTCTTTTGTTTATTATGTTCCAGTTAAAGGTGAGAGCATATGTATTTTTCCCTCACCGCCTGGCTTATTTCACTTAGCATAATGCTCTCCAGTGCCATACATACAGTTGCAAAGGGTTGGAGCTCCTTCTTTCTTTCTGCTGCATAGAATTCCATTGTGTAAATGTACCATAGTTTCTTGATCCATTCATTTGCTGATGGACACTTAAGGTTGCTTTCAGCACTTGGCTACTGTAAATTGTGCTGCTGTGAACATTGGGGTACTTTGGTTCTTTTGGATTGGTGTTTCAGGGCTTAGGGTATAGTCCCAGCAGTGGAATTGCTGGGTCAAAGGCAGATCTATTTTTAGTTTTCTGAGAAAATTCCATACTGTTTTCCATAGTGGCTGCACCAGTCTGCATTCCCACCAACAGTGCACTAGGGTTCCCTTTTCTCCATATCCTCTCCAACACTTGTTTGTTGATTTGTTTATGATGGCCATTCTGACCAGTGTGAGGTGGAATCTCATTGCGGTTTTAATTTGCATCTCTCTGATGGCTAGTGATGCTGAGCATTCTTTCATATGTCTCTGGGCCCTCTGTATGTCCTCCTTGGAGAAGTGTCTGTTCAAGTCCTTTGCCCATTTTTTAATTGGGTTGTTTGTCTTCCTGGAGTGGAGTCGTGTGAGTTCTTTACATATTTTAGAGATCAAACTGTCTGAGGTATCATTGATAAATATGTTTTCCCATATAGTCGGTTCTCTTTTAATTTTAATACTGTTTTCTTTAGCTATGCAGAAGCTTTTTAATTTGGTGAGGTCCCATTTGTTTATTCTTTCCTTCATGTCCCTTGCTTTAGGGGACATATCAGTGAAGGTGTTGCTGTGTGGAATATCTGAGATTTTCCTGCCGATATTTTCCTCAAGGACTTTTACGGTGTCACAACTTATATTTAAATCTTTTATCCACCTTGAATTTATTTTTGTGTATGGTATAAGTTGGTGGTGGAGTTTCATTTTTTTACATGTAGCTGTCCAGTTCTCCCAACACCATTTCTTGAAGAGGCTGTTTTTACTCCATTTTATGCTTTTGCACCATTTGTCAAATATTAATTGACAGTAGAAACTTGGGTTTATTTCTGGGCTCTCTGTTCTTTTCCATTGGTCTATATTTCCAAGATATTCTTTATGTATTTGGGTGTTCCTATGTTGGGTGCATATATATTTACAATGTTTATGTCTACTTGATGTCTGTTCTTGAGTATTATGAAGGGACTTTCTGGATCTGTTTTTATGGTTCTTCTTTTGAAGTCTATTTTGTCGATATAAGTATTGCTACCCCGGCTTTTTTTTCCTGTCCATTTACTTGGAATATTTGTTTCCAGCTCTTCACTTTCAGTCTGTGTAGGTCTTTTGTTCTGAGATGGGTCTCTTGGAGGCAGCATATGTGTCGATGATGTTTTCTTATCCATTCAGCTATTCTGTGTCTTTGATTGGGGCAATTAATCCGTTTACCTTTAAGATTATTATTGATAATAATAATAACCAA